AGTACTCAAGGATTATCTGAAACTCCAAGAACTCTAAATGAATGGTCATGGGCAGAGAATTTAAAACATGAACAAAAAGGGCAATCAGTGCATATATTTAATTTTATTAGGAATAAAACGTAACTGTAATTTTATTACATTTATATGTATGTATGTATGTATTAAATTTATGTTCAGTTGTTCCAACAGTCTATCTAACCCAGTATTGTCAACTACAGCTCAAATGAAGTGAGATTTGCAGAGGTTTTATATATAATAACACTTGAATTAAAATGGTTCTTTGAAGCTCTTACTCCATCATCTACTGCTGGGATCTTTTACTACATCAGTGCTGGGAATTGAACTTGAGGCCTATTGTCGTAAATTAGAACTTTTCCTGACAAGAAGACAACTATTGATATTATTATGGGAACTCTAGACCAGCACAAGGCTGGGAAAAGCTACTATGTCTCAACTTCTACCCTGTTATCTATTATATAAAGATTTACAAAATATATTTCAGAAACTAACAAAATGGAAATATTTTATGATGTTATTTCCAAGAACATGGTGATGCAACAAAGTCACAAGATAAACTGTGATAAATAGTCTAATTTTTAGAAAATCCAGCCCCTTCCCTATAAGTCAAGGACACAGTTGCAACTTTCTTCCAGCACATGGTTCAATGTTTTAATTCTTTATTCTCTGAAAGAAGGGATGAGCATGGCTTGTTCAACATTAAACAGTACCTGCTTTAACAACTGATTTGTCCAAATGTCTGTTGAATCAGGTCCTGAGCATGACAGTTAAATAGGTTAAGAGAGGGAATTATACTTTGGCAGATGGTGTGCAAATTGGATCAGCAGGCATGGAGAGTAAATCCTGCACAGGCTTGTTCAATGGGAGCTCACACCTACCTCCTCCTCTCCAAGATGCACACCTCATCACCTTTCCTGGCATTCTCAGGCTTAGTATCTAAGGGAACAGGAGGCCAGAACAGATGTGATGGAGGAGAGATCAGTACTTACAATCCTTCTCACCAAATCTCTGAAGAGTTCTCCTTTCTGTCCACAGGTCTGATAGATGTTAAGTAAAATTAATTTGCCTTGAGCTGAATTCACATAAGTACCACTGCTGACAAATAGCACCATCCAGATCCAACAATGGATGGTGAACTTTTAATCAAGATTGCATCAGAAAACCATGTCTACCTTCAGTCTGTCTGCTGCCTATTACTAGCTTTGGCTGGTGTACCCCAGTAACTGCACACTGAGATTACAGTAATGTATTTTGTTTGAAGCTGCAGCTTCAATTACTAGTTTGCTGAGTAGGGGACCTAGTTACATGCATGTTACTGCTGTGTTAAACAACTGCACTAATGGTCAATTAATTCCCAAGGTTCTGCTTTGGGCATATAAAGTGTAAAACAGCTTAGACAAGGGTATCTTCCAGATTGTTTTCTCCATTACAGAACTGGATGATCGCTAAGATTATCAAAGGAGGTTTTGCTGTGTGTGCTATGATTGGTAATGATGTCTTATGGTTACTGACAGGGGAACTTCTCTATGGTGGTACCTACTGTCTGGAATGCTCTCTCCCCTGAAATCCATGAAAACTTACTATAATGCCTTTTAGATATCTATCAAAGACTTGCCTTTCTACCCAGACCTACCTTGTGGGAATGCTATGGATGAATGTCCTTTCCTTTCTACCCATTTGTTTTTGTTTTTTTTTAAAGTACTGCAATTTTGTTGCCTTAATAATTTTTGGTATTTGAATGTCACTCTAAATGATTACATGAGAAGCAGCACAAAATATATTAAATAAATAATAGAACTGTTTCCTGTCCTTCAGAGTAACTGTGCAGGAGGCACAACATCAGAAATATTAATTTCTTCCTTAATACACTGCAAAGAACAGCATGCAACTAGAAACCGTAACCACTGTTGGCAGCTAGCAGAACAGATTCCCCTTCCTCTCTGTACTACCCCAAGCATGCACAAATGTGTTCCAGGCAAATTAAGAAGATACCTGGGGCATGCAAGGAGGAAGAAAGCAATAGGAAGTCCCACTGCACAAACAGATGTCCATTCATATAATGTTGGGTGTAGCCTGGCTTACTTTCCCCATGATGCCTCTTGGATTTTCATATAACAGTGAGCTGTTGGCATCCACCATTTTAGGTTTCTGTGTCCAGTAGGAATGGGCAACCTTTTTCAGACCAAGGAGAAGCAGATTAAATCACACAATCAGTCTTCCGTGTAGTATTTCTCTCAGTTCAGAGTGGTTGCACAGTATTTCCATCAAATGAGATAAATGCCATGAGTCATCATGGATTTGTTAACTGTTTCTCCATCCTTAGCATTTATGACTTCATTGTTATGGAAGGAGAAGGGTGTGGTAGCAAACACACCTGAACTGATTTCCCTATCTAAGGAAAAATAATAATTTAACAGTGGTGCTACTGCACCACAGAAAACAACTTCAAGCATTAGTAGTATTTGTTCTATAATATCAGCAAGCGGGTTTGATGTGTGACTTATGGAAACATAAGTGGCTGAGAATTTATAGCTGATCATAAAAAGAATTACAAGGAAAGCATAAAGTCTATGTATTCCGATTCATGAAAACCAGCTATGAAAATCATTACTAACAGAATAATAATAAATTGATAAATTGTATAGCTCCTTCATATGTTTTGCAATGAAGTGGAACATTCATAACTTCAGTTTTCCTTTGAACTACAATTTCCTTCTGTTCCCAAAAAGACAGAGAATGTGGAGAAGACATATAACAATAAAAACTTGATTTATGAAATCATTTAGAGTAGGCTTGTGCTTATCAACTTTCCTAGTAGTAGCCACCGGCAACCAGAATTCCAGGAAAGTGACTAAGCAGGATGTCAAACAGTTAACAGATTGCTCCACCTCTGGTCCTTCATTGCCAGCATGGAGATACAGGTTTGTATGTACAACTTGCCTGGTAACCAAGAACAACTAGAATTCCATGCAGGTGAGCAAGCAAGCTGTCAAAGATTTGACAGAGTGCCCTATCCCTCCTTTGCAATTACCAGCATGAAAATTTAAGTTCCTAACTTCTGCACTAATAAAAAACAAGCTAATAGTAATTTTTGTAGGCTTATTTATATACACTGGGTTCACGCATTGTTCTTATCCATGGTTTATTAATTAAGCCATAGTTGGTTGTCTTAATATGTCATATGAACCTGATAAACCATGGTTTTCATACCACTACACTGGCTTCACACAATAAAGTAAATCGGGAAAAACGGCTTGCCAAGTTGAGTGAACTAAGCCATATTTGTGCTAATCTGTTCAAAATATCTGTGCTTACACAACATATTAGCCATTTTAGCCCAGTATATTATGCAAACCCAGTCTCTGTGGACAATTCAGAAACAGAATGAATTCAGTAAACCATGGTTAAATTAATCACAACCATTTAATGCAAACATAGCCATTATCTTACAAACACTGACCACATGAGTTTTGATTATGAAGCCAACCACTTATAGTTAATTCAATCAAAGTTAAGCAAACCATAGTTAGATACCATGTACTAAGCTAGCCATGAACTGTTATAATCTTGCCCATATATTAGAATGATTTTGGCAGCAAGAATGAAAGTTGAGATTTGATTAAGAGAGTTCCCAACTTGCATCTCATATTATTAAGGTTAAGAGGAAACTGTTTTACATTAGAACAGACTGCTCATCTGTCTAACTTAGTATTCTCTGCAGTGACTCTGCAAGGGTTCCCCAAGTTCATGGTCGGGGGTCTTTCTCAGCCCTAGATGACAGGACCTGGACTGGTAATAGTCTGCATTCAGCATTATGCTTTGCCACTGAACTACAGCTCAGTAGGCTACAATGAGGCCTTGTCACTTCAGAAATAAAATTAAATAAGCAAGCATCAAATTTTCCAATCTATTTTTTTATGCTAAGGGAGCACCCCCACTCCACGCATTCAGCAGAGTACTAAACAAGTAAAAACTTTGGCCGAGGATGTCTGAACACCAGAAACCTTCTTTGACAAACGTTCACAAGAGCAAGAGGAATACAGAATGAAATCAAAAATATTTCTATTAGGGTTGTGCAAAACTTTTCAAAACAGCACTTTACAAATTTTATTGAGCCTGTGCAAAGATCCTCCTCCAAGGTTTAGACATGTCCTCACCCACCTGCCCCCATGTTTGGATATATCAAAAGACAACACTTCCAATGGACCAAAATTGGTTTACTGATTTTAGGTTTTACCTATTTACCACATTTCAATACCGTTCTTCTTCCAAGAGCAAATTAACTAGGTTGTTCAACTAATGAGATAAAAAAGCCCAATACATTCTAAACAAGGAGAAATTACTCATACTAATGTCATTAAATGAAGGTTCAGACAAAATATCTAACCCAGAATTTATGAAACTATGCTCTGCTGTATGTAATGGCCTGGCTTGTCCATAATTCTAAAGGCCTGCAATTACCAGCATCCCCTGAAAGGTTTGGGTACCTCCCCCAACAATCCAAATTGTAGTTTTTAATGTGGCAGAAGGATAAAAATACACGACTGGAGAAAATTTAATTACATGTAGTAATACATGAATGACATTTCATTTCAATTCCAGTTACATGTAAATGAAATTTTAATTTTTAACCTCACTTTACCCACTATTTTTTGGAGTGAAGCTCTTGGCACACCATTCAGAGACCAAGTGGCTCTTGGCTCAGAATAAAGTAATATCTATGTTCTGACCCCAAACCAAACAAACAGCAATACAGCTTAGCATGACATCAGAATCAGATGACACCATATTTCTTTGCTGGAAGAATCTGGCTGATTATGATCAGAATCAGGACACCAAGTTAGATTAATCTTATTTATTCATTTTACTTTAAGTCTGCCCTATGATCTGATATATTATTCTGATGAGGCTATGACCATAAATGTTGTCTGCTGCATAAAATAATCAGTATATATATTTTGTGGCATTTAAACAAGGCCTACCTTGCAATGAATAATGACGATCATCAATCTCTGTAGAAGATTGTTCTTCAGATACCAGTGAAGTTTTAAGAGGTTCCATGCTTTTATGTCCAAGCAATTACTGTAAGCTCATTTCAGGGGCCAAATTGGAAGACGGAAACCTAGAAGAAAAACCAACATTAACAGCAGTCAACATGGCTAAATTTGTCTTGTAAAACTGATACTTATGAAAAAGCCTCTAGCCTTAGAAAAGGCAATACCCCTCCTTCTGTTTTCTAAGAACAATGTTTGCTTAAATTATCTGGATCTGGAACTACTCCTTTCTTAATCATAAAGCTAATAGTTACCTTTCTGGGCTCTACCCATACTGGCTCACCTCCATTTCTGGAAAAGTCACTGCCAAAAACAGGAGATATATTTCTTAAAGAATCCAAAAAATTGAAACATAAAATGGAAGGGGTAAAGACAAATTAGAAAGTCAGACTGACAGCTTCCTGGGGTACTTTCAGTTGTTGGGTCCAAGCTACTCTGAGAAGAGCTTCTTTTATTTCACCCTTAATAAATCTTTTGCAAGATGGGGTCCTTTTCTTGCTCAGCAATTATTACAGCAGGTTTGATACAAAAGTAGCTGAACCAACAAAAGATTAAAAGGTAGCTCTGAAAGTGAAGTTGCCTGACACAAGAACAGTCTTTCTTGTCCTATCTGTATCTTAGCTACCACAGTGTACCCATGCAAATTCCTTTTGCAACAGAGTTCATTTTTCAGCCCTGAACTTGGTAACTTGCCTTACTTTTGGATGCTAACACTCAGCAATCAAAAAACCCATATTGAGCTGCTACAGACATGCAAAGTCTTCTAAATGGAGAAAAAAGTTCACGGACTTGATTGCAGTAGATCTGTGCTATTAACCAGTGAAACTTAAAACTAAACAAACAAAAAACTGGGGAGAAAGTGGAGTACCAAACAAATCCCCCCTTCACTTAGCACACAAAAGGCAGTACATTTACATTACTTCCAATTGAGGTAGATATCCAGTCCATACAATTAGTCATTTTTTACTACTTTAGCTCAAAATTCCTTAATGCTGTCCTGAGAAAAACACCTCTTCATTTCTATTTGTTTAAGACTTTAAAAACAAATGCCTCTAACATAGACAATCAACAATTAACTGACGGAATCCTTACTTCATGATCTAATGGAAAAACAGAAAGGCACAATGAATACATGGAAGGTAGATCTGTCAGCAGTAATTTGGTGCAACAGAACTGAAGTCTCTATGATTCAGTTCACTCATAATACTAAGCCAGAATGGGGTATGTTTGGTTTATGGCTTAAAGTGTTATGCAAAGCCAGCCAATTATGGTTTATTTTTATACTATGAAAAAACATAGCTTAATACAATGTGCAAACCTAGCCTAATCTACAGTCTACTCTGTTCCAAAACCAAAGATTGAGGGGAAACTGATAAAACTGGTAAAAAGAAAACATTCACGCTACCGTACCAGAATTTTCTTTGTGATAATATGGAGAGTCTCCATAAGGAAACAATTTGCAACACAATAACATACAACCCAGTATTTTGCCCCTTGAAGAAGCAGAATTTGGATGTTTGTTTGTCGGACTGGATTAAACTGGATTGGATTGGATTCAACTGGAGGCCGGTTCTTCATCCTCTGAATTACATTGTTTTATTCTGTGATTGTTTTAGTGTTATTGAAACTCCAGTAATTTGTGCAGTTAGGTCTGTTCCACTTGATTCTCCAGAGAGTATTTATTTATGATCTAGCCAAGAATTCTGAAACACTTTACCTCCTTATATGGCCAGAGCTTTCTATATAAGCAAAATAATACTTCCAGCAATACACTGTTAATTTATAACAGAGGTCTGATGAAAGAAAACTTTCTTGAGAAGTATATAAGATTAGTACAGGCTTTGTACAACTAGCTTTCAGTTTCTTTTTTAAATACCGAACAGAAACTTTGCTTCGTTTTCATTCTTTCATTCTTCCATAATGGAAGAATCAGGAGCATAAAAGTCCTGCAAGCACTTCTTGTGCATAAACAAGTTTTCTTATTCCATTATCACTCCTAAACTGATCTATATATGCAGCAGAAGCAGATTATTTGCTTTTTCTGGACTGTACCACATCATTATGTCCCTGAGGAAGAAAGGACCAAACATCTGAATGTTCCACCACAAACATATGAAAAAGATTATTCTAAAACCCTGCTTCTTAACATGGTAAGTATCTACATGCAAGAGTTATTTTAATGAAAATGCATTTAAACCCGTCATTCACTGCATACTAGCTGCATAATAGTAGAGTTCAGGGGAAACAGCATGATATGATTCCGATAGTTGTATGTTGGAGCTTATCTGGACACTAAAAAAAATAACGTGGTACCGCCCTCCCCATTCTGAACTCTAGCATTCCAGATTTCAACCACACAGAGACTCATCGTAGGGCTACTAACAGTGTATGCAAGAGTTCAATAATACAGTGGTACCTCGAGTTATGAACGCCCCTCCTTACGAATTTTTCGAGATTCCGGCCCCAAAAATTTACCTTGACTTGCGAACTCCGCCTCGAGTTACGAACTGGATCCGCAGCCATTTTCCCTGCTGCCACACGGTTGTGGCTTCCTGTGGGCGAGATCGCGGTAGCAA